TTCAGTAGAAACTTGTTTAATATTTTCAGTGTCATATACTGGTACCATGCAGTGTTTTTCTTAATTATTAAGATTTAGTTTGTATCTACTTAATACAGTTTGGCTTATATCAACTTAGTGCTTATTTAAATTTATACCGTTTTATTATACATAGAGTGAATGTTGGCTGTCATTACTTTCCCCCCAATATGTTTTAAAAAACACTATTCTAATTGCTCAAAGAAAGATGTTATAAAAGTTACAACTTTGGCAGATTTTCAATTTTCAAGCATCATAATCTCTCCAATAATTTTTCATTTAGAATATTCAGAGACCCACATAATTTCTGTGGGCTAGATCAAGCAAGGTAAAGGTGAATTTTATAGAAAATACTTCTCATCCTTTTATAAGTTCTATACCTTCCAATTTCCACCCCCACTCATTTCCTTCCTTTTTTGAAGGGGCTTAAGAACTGACCTTTGGGAAAAATGAGGACCTAATGCCGTGGGCTTAAGTGAAGAGGAAACGTTTTGAGAATGATGATGGCAATGAATGTACAAAGGCGCTTTACACAATTGATGTGTGTATGGATTGTGATAAGAGTTGTATGAGCCCCTAATAAAATGATTAAAAAAAAAAAAAGAACTGACCTTTGGAAATGGAGGAAAGAACTAGAAGGTAAAGGACATTTTTAGAGGTATAAATACAGGCACATACCTATGTAAGGATATTTATATGTAATAATTCTTGGGGCTGGTTCCAGACCATGCAGCCGCTTCCTGCAGCTCTTTCGAAAGATAGCCTGCTGGACTGTGAGGCCCCTTCTTCCTGCCTCTCAAAGCCAGAGCTGGACTGTGCAGTCCCTGCCTTCAGCATTCCAAGGAGCTTATCTCTCCAGTCCATGTCTGTACAGCCCCTTCTCTTAGTGTTCCAGGACAATTTACTCACAGACCACATCCTGACTCAGACCCTGCAACTGCAGCACCAGGTCTTCCTTCCCCACTCAGTACATACATCCTTGGCTCAAGCCCTATGTGTGTATCCCACTGCCTCACTGCCAGGCGCGATCTCCCTGACCTAACTCGTTGGGTCTCAGAACCCACCTGGGAGCTCAAGATGCCCCCGTCCTTCTCTGCTCTCGCTTCCCTCCCAGGAGTTCTTTCCCTGCCTCAATAAAATCTTTCTCAACTTCACATTCCCCGCTAAATTCTATCTCTGTTCTGTGCCTCCATCTCCAACCTCTCAATGATATAATGTTAAGTATTAAGGTAGCAGATGGACATTGGGCCTCTATTTAGGTACTCCTTCAACACAAGAACACTATGTTCTAATAACTCATTATTCTGTGATGCTCACCTTCCTGATGTGATCGCTAAAGACAAAAATGGGTGCATAAGTAAATTTGAAGAAAGCTGATGGTGCCCGGCTATCAAAAGGTATAGCATCTGGGGTCTTAAAGGCTTGGAGATAAACAAGTGGCCATCTAGTTGAGAATCAAAAAGCCCACATGGAAGAAGCACACCAGCCTGTGAGATCATGAGGTGGCAACAGGATCAGAAGGTCCAAAAGAAACAATCATATCGACGAGAAACAGGGTGGGGGACAGAGTGGAGATCCAAAGCCCTTCTGTAGAAAATTGGACATCCCCTCACAGAATGGTCACAAGGAAGGGACAAGCCAGTCAGGGTGCAGTATAGCACCGAGGAAACGTACAACATTCTTCTAGTTCTTTATTGCTTCCTCACTACTCCCATGACACTAGTTCTAACTTACAAATCTGGCTAGACCAGAGCATGTACACTGGTAAAGAGCTCTTGACACACAGCATCCAGGACAGATAAACCCCTCAGGAACAGTAATGGGAGTAGTGATACTATGAGGGTAGGGGGAAGGTAGAAGAAGGGGGAACTTATCACAAAGATTGGCATATTAATTCCTAAACACACACATCCAGGGTAATGAACAATAGAAATGCGTGAAAGGAGACAGTGGACAGTGTAAGATCATCATAGTTTATAATTTATCGAGCATTTATGAGGGTGGGAAGGAGGTAAAAACTGAGGAGCTGATACCAAGGGCTTAAGTAGAAAGAAAATGCGTTGAAAAGGATGATGGCAAAAAAAGAAAAAAAGGATGATGGCAACATATGTACAAATGTGCTTGACAAAACTGATGCATGGTTTGTTATAAGAGCTGTAAGAGCCCCCAATAAAATTTTTAAAAATTGAAAATAAATGTGAGATACACTTGGATCCACTTTACATTAAAAACTAGGAAGCTGGTGTCCTCTGATGGGTATCTGGTAATTTCTCCTAGCATCTCATATCCTAATGACTTTCACTGGTAGCCTGACATTCAGCAGCATAAACTTTGTTTATTCCTGAACTTATTGTTTTTAATTGCGAACTAGGTAGGGTTTATAGATCTGATCATTTTTACACTCACCATCTCATCAAATCTCCTAATGGCTTGCTGTTACCCTCTCCTTTTTTTCTATCTCCCTCGTTTATTTCCCTTAACCTATTTTTCTTTTCTATGAATTCCCTTGATGTTGAATAAGGTGAAAACTATAATCAAAAGTACTACTGGCATCATGATTTAAAAAAAAAATACTTCTCACCTGTAAAAAAATCACTGGTTTTGGGTAAGCTAAAAGCTTTCTACATCTATTATAGATATATCCAATATTTTAGATCTTCTCACAGCTGTAGCATTATAGATTCTCATAGGAATTCTCGTTTGAAAACTGCTGCAGACCTTTCTACATTGGTTATTTTTGTTCTCAAAGTAAATAATTCATATTGACAAAGGACTAGCATGTTTGACTGACACTCTCATATGTGATAAATCCTTACACAAACCTTCCAAACTCAAAACTCACTGCCATCGAGTCCATTCTGACTCATAGTGACCATATAGGCCAGGGTAGAACTGCTCCTGTGGGTTTCCAAGACTGTATGTAATTTTATATGCGAATAGAAAGCTTCATATTTCTCCCAAAGAGCACTTGGTGGTTTTGAACTGTTGACCTTGGGTTATAAAACAACAAACACATGTAAACAGACTAAAAGACATATACAAGAGTACGTATAGCAGTGTTTTTATTTAGCGTAATAAAAAAAATATAAATGTCCACCAACCAAATAGTGTATTCTTAAAATGAATAGTATACAGAATGAAAATATACTACTGCCATATGGAATAATGTATGAATCTTAAACATATTGAGTGCAACAAAAAATTAAATCATGATGTATTATAAAATACAAAGATTAAAAACATGCAAAACTATATTCTGATATTAATATGTCATGGAAGTGGTTATTTTTGGAAATAATACCTAACAGCTTTTTGCTCCAAAGAATACAAATATAAATCACATTTTCCTTCTCTTGGTATTCATGATTATTTTTCACTTTTCCTCTGCGTGTAAGAAGGTGAGTAAAAAAGTTGCTATAAAACTTTGTTTTATTCAGGGAGGGTAAAGGGAGAATGGGTAGGAAAGAGGGAACCGATTACATGGAACTGTGTGTGACCTCCTCCCTGGGGGACAGACAACCGAAAAGTGGATGAAGGGAGACGTTGGACAGGGCAAGATATGACAAAATACCAATTTATAAACTATCAAGGGCTCATGTGGGAGGGGGGAGCGGGGAGGGAGGGGGAAAATGAGGACCTAATGTCGGGGGTTTAAATGGAGAGAAAATGTTTTGAGAAATGATGTACAAATACGCTTTACACAATTGATGTGTGTATGGATTGGGATAACAGTTGTATGAGCCCCTAATAAAATGTTTAAAAAAAAAAAAAAACCGAAAAAAAAACAAAAAAAAACACTTTGTTTTATTAAAGCTTTAAACAAAAACATCAAAATGTGAAACTCTCGTTTATTGACATATCCTCCCCTCCATCCAGGTCTATATACCTCTGAAGGAGGTGTTTCCATTTCTCTAATTCTTTCTGGAATAATTCTGCCCTCTGATTTACACCACATCAAAATGGCAGTTTTGGCATCTTTGAAGGGTAAAATTGAAGTGTTTTCTATTTTCAAGAACAAAAAAGTCTGAAGGGGGAAGGTCAGGGCTTTTAAGTGTATAATTTCCCAATGAATTCTCACAGGATAGCACTTGCTACCCTACAAGAATGAGCATTATCATAATTGGAAAAATTTTCTCTGGACAGTTTTCAATTTTCTTAAAACTTCTTCAAAATAAGCTCCTGGAACTGTCTTAGGTCTTTTGAGAAAATCTATCAAGATTACCCCTTTGGGATACCAAAAGCCATTTTATTTTTTCATTTGTTTTTTTAAGGAAGAAGCTGCAGGTTTTATTAAATGGTTTCTTATGTTGCTGCAAGGCTGTTGCTTCATTGTATAAAAATAGCACCAGTAAAGGCAAGTGTATTGCAAACTTAAAATTGTGTTGTTCTTTAGCTGATACTGTACAATTAATAAAAACTTATCTCCACTCAGTCATTTCCAGCAGGAAGAGAATTAAGTATCCTGGCCCAAACCCAGGTCTGGATATCAGCAGTAGCTATGTTATAGGAGGCTTAAGATAACAATGCACCTTTTGGGTTACATCGTTTTGTGACTATTCTAACCACAGCTCATTTCATGACTTCTGAATATTATAACTAGATCCTAACATAAAAATCACAGGCTACTATGAGAAAAAGTGTGCATAGTGTTTCTGGGCAATCATTAGGAAGTTAAGGGGTACTTTCTTCCAATAGCATAGTTGCCCCAACTAGTTTCTCTGTTCCAGTGGTACTGCTAAAAGCTATTTTAATTCTTTCCACCACTAATTTAAGACAACTGGCAAAAGTTGTTTCATTGTACTTTATTCAGGGGTTCCATTTTCACTCCTTGATGGATTTTATGTATTTCTTAAAAAACCATTTTATTAGGAGCTCATACGGATTTTATGTTTTTAATAGGCCTCTTCACTCATTAGTTTTATTTCAAGTTCTGAAGGATTAGTCAGTGTCATCTTGATCAGCCAGCCATCTTCGTAACAGGATTAGTTCACAAGCCCTGGATGCTCTGTAAGTGCGTCATTCATTTCTGTGACTTCTCCTGATAAAGGAGAGTAGAGTTCACTAGCAGCTTTCACACTTTCCAGAGCACCAAACTCATCCTGTTTGTGCACCTTTGTCCCAACTTCAGGAAGACTACAGTAAACATCTCCCAAAGCTTCCTGTGCAAAATTGCTGATCCCCACTGTTCCAACACCATTTTCTGTCGTTACCCATTCGTTTGTCTGTGAACTTGCGCACCGAGAGCAGAGTCTGGCCAGAGAGCAGAGCTCTGCCAGAGCGCAGTGACCCCACCGCGGCTGACCCAGGACCCCAGTGTCACGCAGGGCAGGGCTTGTGGGCCGCTGAGAGCGCATGCAAGCTGCAGATCGCAGCCGGTGTGCCGCTTGCAGTGCCACGCTCACTGGCAGGGTGAGGACTGTCGCTGTGCAAGACTCGGACCCCAAAGCCGTTTGCATGACCTTCTAAGCTGACCTCTCTGTCTTGAATTTAACTGGCTCAGCAGATCCCCTCAGAGGTATTGTTTGGTTGTATTTTTTTTGTATCAAATTTAAATTAAAAAAATCATTTTATTCGGGGTTCGTACAATTCTTATCACAATCCATCTATCCATCCATTGTGTCAAGCACATTTGTACATGTTTCCATCATCATTCCCAAAACATTTGCTTTCTACTTGAGCCCTTGATATCAACTCATTTTCCCCCCTCAGTCCACACTATTCCTTCCCTCATGAACCCTTGATAATTTATAAATTATTATTATTTTGTCATATTGTTTGGTTGTATCTTAAGGTCACCTAATGAGATCAAGACAAACGTACTACTGAAAACCTTGTCTGCAGCTTATCACTAATCAGAGATGTTTTAAAAATTTATTTAAAATAAATCAGAGCATTTATTAACTGAAACCATACTTGCTATGCTTTTTCACTTACCCTTATATAAATACAGAAGAGGGCTTTAAAAGTTCATGGAAAAGTGTTATTTATGGAACTTTTCCACAAACTTATTGAAGTCTCCGAAAGAATGTGTGTGTGTAAAATAACTGATTTAACAGTCACTGAAACTTACAAAAATAGCTTCATTTCTCCTGGAGTTCATATCCATTTTATATGCTAACAAGCAGTAGATAATTAAATTATTATAATTGTGATGACAATTTTAACATGTTTAAGCATGCTTTTAAAATGTTTAAAATTACTTTAAAAGGCTTTACAAAGAAGTTACTTTATTTATTGCATTTCTGTTTTCTCCTGTATGAGTTATCTGATGGGCAATGAGGTTTCTCTTGTAACTAAAAGATCTGCCACACTCATGACAAATATAGGGTTTTTCTCCTGTGTGAGTTCTTTGATGCACAATGAGATTTGTCTTCTGACGAAAACACTTTCCACACTCATTACATTTATATGGTTTCTCCCCTGTATGAGTTCTTTGATGATGAATCAGATAAGACTTCCTGCTAAAGGCTTTCCCACACTGAGAACATTCATAGGATTTCTGCCCGGTATGTATTTTCTGATGTACAGTGAGGGTTGCTTTCTGGCGAAAGGATTTTCCACACTCACTACAAATATATGGTTTCTCCCCTGTGTGAATTCTCTGATGTAGATTGAGATTTGTCTTCTGACTGAAGGATTTCCCACATTCATTACATTCATATGGTTTTTCTCCTGTGTGAGTTCTATGATGATCAATGAGGTATGACTTCATCCTAAAGGCCTTCCCACAATGAGGACATTCATAAGACTTTTCCCCTGTATGTGTTCTCTGATGTGCTACCAGAGTTGTCTTTTGGCGAAAGGACTTTCCACATTCATTACAAACATAGGGTTTCTCCTCATTATGAGTTTTCTCATGAAGAGCAAGGGTTGTCTTCTGGGTAAATGACTTCCCACATTTACTACAAATATAAGGCTTCTCCCCTGTGTGTGTCCTCTGATGCACAGTAAGGTTTGCCTTTTGGTGGAAAGACTTCCCACATTCTTTACAAATATAGGGTTTTTCCCCTGTGTGAATTCTCTGATGTAAAGAGAGTGTTGTCTTCTGGCGGAAGGACTTCCCACATTCATTGCATTCATATGGTTTTTCTCCTGTATGAGTTCTTTGATGACGAATGAGGTGTGACTTCAACCTAAAAGCATTCCTACATTCTGAACATTCATATGATTTCTCCCCTGTATGTGTTCTCTGATGATCAGTGAGGGCTGTCTTTAGACGGAAGGACTTACCGCATTCATTACAAACAAAGGGTTTCTCTCCTGTGTGAGTTCTTTGATGATCAATGAGATAAGACTTTCTTCTAAATGCATTTCCGCATTGATGACATTGATAAGGTTTTTCCTCTGTGTGAATTCCCTGATGTAGAATCAATACTGACTTTCTGCAGAAGGATTTTCCACATTCAGTGCACGTGTGTTTTTTTTCAATATTTGTTGCTTGTCTCCTTTTACAATATTCAGATGAGTTTCCCCCTCTGTAAGCTCTATTATGTGTAATTAACTCTCCATTTTTATGAAAGGATTTCTCATGTTCATTATATCCAAGTGGCTGTGTTGGAGTTTCTATCTTCTGATACCGAATAAGCAATTCATTATGACTAAGAGCTCTCCCATTTTGATTATGGGAGATAACTCCAGGATGTGCTGTCTCTTGCTTAGTATTGAGGAATGAATTCCTGTATCCATTACAGTCACCAAATCTCCTTCTTGCAGGGCTTAAATTATTGATGATCAATTTTGAAACATTTTCCAAAATTGTTTTATGCGTACCATATTCAGAAGAGAGATTTATTGAATTAACAGGGCTTTTGCTTAAAGTAAATGTCTTCTCATATATATTACATTTTTCCTTAATAATTTTTTTGTGGTTGAGAAGTACAAGTGATCTAGAATATTTATCTTGATGTTCCTTGGATTTCAATACGAAGTCTTCAGCTTTCCAGTTTTTTTCTAGAAAAGAATACAAGTTAACAAAAATTTGTGAATCTTCACATCTGTGATTGGAATGGAATAGTATTAGAGCTGACTAGTTTCAAGCCTAGAATATGTGACCTAAAAAGGACGTAAGACATTATCTTTTGATTAGGGAAACCCACAAAACATAAACACGAGTTCTGTTTCAATGTGAAAAGAGACTTCAATGTGATGAATACTAGCTTTTACACCTGAGCTTTATAGAGAAAATAAAATTAACACAAGAAGTTGTGAGCAGAAGACAAATATGGTAGAAGAGGGACTGTTACTTGGATTGATCGACTCAGGAGCAATAGAGTGAGCTTATCAAGAGCAGTAAAGTTTAAGTAGGATGAAAAAAGAATCTACAAGGATGGATTACTTTTATAGGATACAGATCACAGGCTACACATTCATATATTCATCCCTAGATTATTCATTTAAAGCACTTTCAGTAGGTTTCATATGCACTCTCTTACATGCAGCCAACAACAGCAAATTAATTTTTTTCTAGCATTACTTTTCTAGTGTTTACAGAATAATCTTATAGTCTTATACTTTAGAAAAAATATATGGAAGGTTCTGGTCTTCCATATAGCTGAAAATAATTCTTTCTTTTAACAGAAGGAAAACATTTCAAAAGCAATGTAAAAATATTCACTGTTGTATTCAGAAAGCTGTTATTATCAATTAATTCTTTCAGAATTATCAATAAGACTCTCTGGACTATCAATTTTAATTATTCTTCTTTTCAGTTTGGTTACTTGGTTTTCTGAGTTTAAGGAAAGACTAGTTAAAATTTTTCCTTAGTGCAGTAACATCCTTAAACTCTAGTTTTCTATATGAGGAACCATAAGGGTCAGATTCATTTTTTACCGTTCACTTATATTCACCGTTACTCTTATAAATTTATAACTGTACTTTTCTTTTTAAATCATTTTATTAGGGGCTCATACAACTCTTATTACAATCCACACATACATCAATTGTGTAAAATGCAATCTTGAATCTAGGATCCACTCATCTTGTCACATGTGAACCTCTAGTCCCTCCCCTTCCTATTGGATGCACACCCCTAACTCATCCCTTCTTGTTGCACCACATATGCCTATTGGACAGCCCCTTCCTGTTACTTATGTGGTTACTTGTAATCAGAGGGGCTTGCACGCCCTCTAAATAGATATAAGCCTTGGTTAGAAATATATTCTTTGTCTCTGCGTGGACCTGGCTGCTGGGATCACGGCCGTTGCGGAGGTGAGCATGCTACCATGAATGTATCTGACTCCTTTATTTTACTCTCTCCTATCTTTCCTATTCTCTATGCCTTTATTATGACCTTTATATATTATTGCTGCACAATTGCGCCTAAGGATCCTCAGTTGTTAGAGGCTGGTTTATTCTGGCAGCCTTATAGTCTTATCTATTCATATTTATAAACTCTTCAAGAAATTGCCATTGTCATGATTTTACAACCTCTTCATTTTATGCCCGTCAACATTATTTCCTTTAAAATGTAAAAACTATGGCTTGAAAAGGGCATTTAATGATTATTTTCATAACCTTCTTCTGAATTATAAATATTCCATAGAAAGCATAGGTTTTTGATACTCTATGTTCATAGAAAGGAATATTTGATTAGCTATATCCACTGAAGCATTCTTTGTTTATATTATAGCATTTCAGTTAGAATCTACATGACCAGAGAGGATATACTGAAAAGAACTTTTTCGGTACATACTTTCCATATAGTTGAAAAAAATACCACTCATTCGTAGCTCCTGGGACAATTAATGAGGTACTACTAAATTAAAACATGCTCCATATTACAGTAAAGAAAATTCAAACAGAAGATCACATATATGGAGGAAAGAATCCTTAAGCAAAAACCATGTGCAATCAAATTAGAGGTCATATCCAAGAATTCTATGTATGTATCATAGTAATTAGTACTGGAATTCAGAAAAAGCAAAGATGAATGTGATATGAAATACTGCTGGAGGAAAAATATCTCAGGTTTTAAAAATATATGTGGGACCTGGAAGGAAGAACACAACACAATAAAAACAGATGTGATGACAAACCATATATATATATGGAGGGCCTTTAAAAGAAAAAGTTCTAAAAGAAGAGTCTCATGTAATTCATTCTGAGTAAGTTAAGAGCAGAATAAAGGAGCCCTGGTGGTGCAATGGTTAAGTACTAGGCCATATGGGGAAATTAGCAGAAGTTTTAAGCAAGAAGGAGAAATCAAGTTTCAAAGACCAGACAAGGTCTTATTGCGATAGCCTTTGGAAGATGATGCCTTTTGCTCCTATAAAACTTGACAGCCTTAGGAACCCAGAGGGGTAGATTCTATTCTGTTTATCGGGTCTCTATGAGTCAGAATCATCTAAATGGCAGTGGCAATAAGAAATCTGTCTTTTGGGCCTCAACTCAAGTACTCTCTTAACATAAGAACACTCTGTTTTACAATCCAGCATTCTGTCATGCTCACTTTCCCAAC